AAGTATGAATACGTCTTTAGCTTTTAATAATCTGGGGATGAGCATTCCTGATTAAGGTTACCCCAAAAAAAGTACTTCAGATGCATTATTGTAAAGAGTTATTTTCATATTGCAAAATAACGTATTATTTATCGTGCATCTTATAATCACGCATTTGGAAGATATAACCATGTAGTTATATGAAGGTACGACAGACAGAAACTTTTCACATAATGTATTTCACCTGATGGATATTTGTTTGACAAGTTTTCCAAATGATCTTTAATTTCCTATTTTATTGAATTAACGAACCTGTTTTTAAAAAGACTGGTTTGTCCATGATTTGTGAAAATCATGCTTCAATACACATAATAACTGTTGAAAAAAGTAAAATAGCAAAAATACCGAACTCCAAGCAAAATTTTAAACGGAAAGTCCTTTATCAAATGGCAAAATCAAAAGCTCAAACAAAACAAACGAATGAAAAACAACTGTCATATTCCTGACTTGGTACAGGCATTTCCGTATGTAGAAAATAGTGGATTAAACCTGTTGTTTAGCAAGCGAAACCTCTCACTTGTATGACAGTCGCATAGAATCCATTATATTTAGATGTTGAAAATAGGATGATTTCGGAAAATTTTATAATGTTAAGGACTGTCATTTTTATGTGGAACACTTAGAAAATTTGTATATGAAACATGTGTGAAAAGAGTTTAAGATTTTGTATGTACATCATTTTTTTTCCGTTTTTGTCGATCAAAGAGAGGGAAAAGATACCAAAGGGACATTCAAACTCATAAATCGCAGATATACTAACAACGCCATGGAAAAAAATAAAAGGCCCAAAAGACAAACAACAGTTAAAAAAACACAACATAAAAAACTAAAAACTGAGGAACACGAACGCCACCAAAAAATAAATGGGGGTGATCTCAGAATGGTTAGCAGATCTTGCTCAACATATGGCACCCGTCGTCTTGCTCCTGGAAGTAGAAATCCGATAATAAGTCTAATTCGGTAGGTCAAATTCGGGAAAAAAAGAAATGGATTGTGGTTACGACAACTAATTCTGTGAAACAGATATTCCATAACGGTCAACCAACTCGTGATTACGAAATTGATTTCAGATGGCAATATGCGCAAAGATTTTTTTCATATCGGTATAACAAGCTACTATTGTAATGATCTCAATGCACAAGGAATACAAAATATGCACCTGCAGCTATATTTCTACTTTTAATGGTCGGAGAAAACGAATAATATGTTGTATCAACGTTTAGTGACCTTTCCAGTCTAGTTGTAAAAATTGTAACCTAAGTCCGAAGCATAGTTAAATCTGAATCCTTTAACCAAGGAAATAACAAAGGGTTAAATTTAACCACAGGATAACAACAGAAAATAACCTTGGGTTAAATTTTAACCAAGAGTTATGATATTTAACCGCTGGTTAAAATTTAACCGAGAGATGAACAACCGGGTCCAGGTGAGAGAGTGTTGATTATTACCAAAAAAATATCAAACAGAAGCAAAGAGCGTAAAACTTTACACATTTTATCAAACAATAAAGACAAATATGAAGAGGGGCACTTATATATCATCGGCTTTCAAACTTTGGGTTCAAGCATTCCCGATGAAGGTCAATCAAGAAAAGCATTCATTTCATATCTTTCTTTTCTTTTTTTAGACGCACTACATATAAAGTTTTATTTACAATTTTAACATTACATTGACATGATTGAACAGCAAATCCGAGGACTTACCTTGTTTGTATACGATACCTAAGCTTCACAAAATTCCGTACAAATAACGGTACATTGCCGGCTCATCTGCATGTTGTACCAAGCAATTGTCCTTTAGATTGACAAAAATTCTGTCCGCAGTGAAAGAGGGTCTTTAGAAATACTGTGAAACTGTTTACTTGCGTAGTGGGGTTCTAAAAAACTCTAAGGAACTTCTGGATAATCTAAATCTCGCTCTTTCTCTGAAATTAGTTCTATCAAAACTTTTTTAATTTTCAACCCTGTATACCACCATTCTTCATGCGAAGAAATCGTCTAAAAAAAAAATCCATAATGCTTTTCAATATAAAAATGGTAGCATACGCTTGAAATTTATTACTTTGGGATCCCATACGGCATATTTTGTTAATAGTGAACAAAAAGGTAAAACATGCCACACAGAGGAACAAGTGATCAGTATGCTGGAGTTTCTTATTGACAACATATTTGTTTAATTTGGAGATAGACTTTTCAACAAATTGTCAGCATTCCTATGTGAACGAACTGTGCGCCTCTCCTCATTTTCATATGAGACGGAGTTCATTCCTACACTTGTCAAAAAGAAGAAGATCAAAGAAGCCAGGTCATTTAATTTTACATTCAGATATATTGATCATGTTCTTTCCATTAACAATCCAAACTTTTCTGATTGTGTTCCATTAATATATCATCCAGAACTAGAAATTAAAGAAACAATAGACAAGGCTTCCTTCGCCTCATTTGTAGACTTATACCTCGAATTTGACCAATGTGGTCATCTTAGTACGAGATTCTATGACAAACGAGACGATTTTTAATTTTGAAATTATAAATTTCTCCCACCTTAGTAGAAATATACCAACTTCACCTTCATATGGGATAGACATTTCCCAACTCATTCGGTATTCAAGAGCTTGTAGCTGATATTAAGACTTTATAAAACGTCACTAGTGTATGAGCAGAAAGTTGATGAACCAGGGTAATGTCAAAGAACGTCTCGTCCTTTTTCTAAAAAAGTTCATCGGAAGATACCAAGACCTTGTTGATGAATATTCCGTATCAACTTCACAAATAGTACATGATGGTCTTCTCGTTTATTTTATGATGGTATGATACTAAATCCCCAGCGGGAGGTATTGTGCTTGATTTTCTTATGATAAAGACATACTCTTTCAATCAGTTTAATTGAGGTCTGGAGCTGGCATACCAATAACTGCTAATAGTCCTATGCTAATTTTTTTATCACTGTCATTTTGTTTAGTTTCTCCTGTTACCTATTTTGACATTAGACTCGGACTTTACTTAAACTGTGGGTTTGATAATTCTACATCGGCGAGAGGTATAGGGGTAGGCTTGAAATCTCACAAAACATCTTTAAACCTGCGCATGTATCAAGTCAGGAGCCTCTGACCTTTGTTAGTCTTGTATGTTTGTTTTAATTTTGGTTCATTTATATGTTTCGGAGTTTAGTGTGACGTCCACTTTCGCTGAACTAGTGCACTTTTTTGTTTAGGGGCCAGCTGGAGCCAGCCTTCGGATGCGAGATTTTCTCGCTGTGTTGAAAACCCATTGGTGGCCTTGGTCTGTTTTCTGCTCTTTGGTCGGGTTGTTGTCTCTTTGACACATTCCCCGTTTTCATTCTCAATTTTATTATCATAGGTACTGACGATGTTTGTCTTTCATTTGTCTTTGTAAATTAGTACCTTTACTGTTTAGTCCATTTTTGGTAATATTCCTTTGGCGTTGCTCGGTACTTATACATCCCGTCATTGTGTTATTGTGCTATGGTCAATTTTTGTATTCTTGTCTTTTATTTTTGCTTTTGTGCTTCTTCGCTTTGTCTATATGCCATTTTGTTTTTCTTTGTAAGCATATTTGTTTGTTTTTATAGTGATTAAGATTATAACACAATGTCGACTGCTGTACCCCTATTTTTGACATGTTTACCCATTATGTCTGTTTGTTTTGTTCACACATTGTTGTCAATATAAAGGATTTTTATGTGACTATCATACAAGTGTGAGGTTTAGCTAGCTATAAAACCAGGTTCAATCCACTATACTATACTAGTTGTTTTCCATTCGTTTGATGTGTTTGAGTTTTTGATTTTGCCATTTGATAAGGGGTGTTCCGGTCTGAATTTTCATTGGAGTTCGGTATTTTTGTTATTTTACTCTTTTTATGCAGTAAATATATTTATTAAATCTTTCAGTGAAAGGACGTCGTCTATAAAGCTGAACGAGAAGGTAAAGTTCGATGCCACATTGTGTTTTAGAAGTTCACGAAGTCTTTCTTATAAGAATAAAGTCGACACGCAGAGGGACACAGCCTATTCCGATAGGATCCCAAACCATGAATTATATATATATATAGAATTACATCTTGTTATTTAGTATTGCTGCAATTGAGACTGTGTTGTGATATATGTTTTTACTTTTTCAGAGCACCCATAAATTTGCTTATTTAGTAGTCTTTGGAAATCACTGTTGAATTGATTCAAACCTGATCTAAATACATAGTTATTTAGAGCTTAAAATGTTGTAAGGTAATTTGTCTATTGCTGAAGACCGTATGTCGATCTGTAGAAATGTAGTTCTAATATTTTGTTATGTTTGTATTTCATGATTAAAATTGATGGAGAAACATAACGATAAAGGTATTGGAAGTCTGACTTCAATATATTTGCGTCCCCTGAAGCCTTCGAAGAAAACAAATAATGGTTTTACGGTAGTCATCGCAATGATTGAATGTAACTAACACGATTCCAAATTATATTTGATAAACAATGAACAAGATAAAGTGAATCTTTGATATGTGTCCATTTGTTCTTTAAGGCAAATGTTCATTAAACAAACCACTTGACTTTAGATGAATTTGGTTATTCTAGTTAGGTTCCATTTTGTCATATAGCTCTTTATGTTTTCAGGTATTTCAAGTCATCTTCAATTTTGCTGTCAATTATTTGGGTCTGAGCGTTCCTAATGAAAATAAAACCGAAAAAGCATTTTGTGTTTTATTACCTTTTGAGTTAAATCTCCTGGGAAGGAAACTGTTTTTGTCATTATAATAATCATTTATATCACATACGGTCCTATTTACGCCCCGGAACTCTGAAGAGGTGAATGGTATATAAATAATGAAAAAAAAAACGAAATTAAAATAATAACCAGACAATAATCATTTCAATGACCGAATACATCGTTTAAACAATGCCATAGGACAATGAGGAAATAATGTTTGACACAATTTGTAGTATAACAACATAGATCGTTACAAGCATGTAAGAGTGCCGACAGATCTAACAACCACAAAGCATCTTCGAAACAACGATGCTGTAGTCAGTTTCGATGATCATTATGTATATCGATCTGTTTTTTATGTTTGTTTATGTTGATAGAATCATAACACTGAAGATAGGAGATCCGCATGTTTGTCCAAAGCCGGTAAAGATAAGGTACGTTTGTCATGATATTCGCGTGAAAGTAAAAGATATTCATTAAAAACATTTGATATAAATGAAATATTCTATGTTTCTTACGACCTTTGGTTTGCATAACGTTTGCCTCTTAGTGTTCTTTGGTAAGATATTTTAAACACATATTTCGAAATTGTAAACCTGTTTTTACTAAACCTCAAGCGATACATCAATCCATAAGGTAGAATTTGGGTATTGACAATGCTTTATTATATACAATATTATCAATTCTTAAATGAAAATATTTGCAATATCAAAAAACAACACTTAGGTATTTGATTGTAAAGACACTTTGTATCTCCTTAATCCTCTTTCCGTCATAAAGTTTCCGTGCTTGTAAGGTTGTTCATACATATGGCTAAACGTTTTGAATTCTTTATATTAAAATGTGAATGTGTATTTTTGTTCCTTTCTTCAAGCATACACGAAATCCAAAAGAATGTTTTAATTATTTTGTGTATCATTAAAAAATTCATCATTCAGCATTTTCCTCCATGTTCAGAGTGTACCGTTTTGCTTTTCATTATATGCAGCCGTCTTACTATCTCACTCTCTGTCTTTCATCAGTGCATAATTTTCAAGTAATACATTAATACTTCGACATTAATTCATTTCATTGGTCTGTTTGGCATATCCTTTTTTCTAATGTTGCAGTTAAGGTACCCTTTACTATTTCTTTTAACTGATAATGAATCTAGCAGCAGCATGTATGCGTTAAGCTAAACGAACTAGTCATTTAAATCGAGATTATAACAAAACATCTGCAAGTTAAGACGAATTTAATGAATTGCAAAATTGTATTTGATTAGTTGATGATTATTTAAAGTAGTTTTGCTAATGCAGATGGAATATCATCTCAATATAATTCAGCTTATTTTATTTTTTTTTACATTAACCTGCCAAAAAACATCATAGATTCCAGGATTTAAATGTGAACGACAGACGCGCGTTTCGTTTACAAAAAACTCAACTTTAAGACTCGAAAACTCGTTAAAGGACAAAATAAAAAACGAAGTTGAAGGGCGTTGAGGACCGTAAAATTAGAGAGGTTATGCCAAATGCGCATACACAAGCATAGCCTAATGTACACTTACATTATTATATTTAGAAGATTTTTATTTTACTTTTAGTAATCCGTCTGAAACCCAAAAGGAACTAGACATAGAGTGTTGTCCGCACTATATTTACCAGAATAGAAAATGTGAAGGTAATATTGCCTTGTTTCATACATCAATTATATAGTTCATTGTGTTTGTGTGTTTTTTCATCGTATGAACAGATCTAGAGTGTTAATGTTTTGAATATGTCAATGAGAAAAAAAAAAGCATATCTAGAAGTTAAAAGCTAGACTTTGATTATCGATAGATGACTATACGATATCTCAAATTCTGTATCACCCGGAGCCTAACCAAGTCGGGAATACATTTATATCAGAATTGATAAAGGCTGATCGTTTAAAGAAAAGAGAGGCGAAAGATACCAAAGGGATATTCAAACTCATAAGTCAAAAAACAAACTGACAATGCCGTGGCAAAAAAACGAAACCGACGAAAAGACAGTACACAATACACATAAAGAAAACTTAAGACTGAGCAACACGAACCAAAACAAATACCAGGGGTGATCTATGTAAATCAACTGATTTAAACACAAATTTGGAAAATATTTGTGTTTGATAACAAAACTTTATTTATGTGATTTTTCGACTATGAACATGAAATAAGATTTCGAAATATATTTTAATTTGTTTATTAAGTAAAATTAAATTATATAATGAAACATTCTACATTTAGTGTTATACTGAAATTGCAAATGAAAAAAAAGGACAACTTGTTAAATCTTTTCAGAATCATGGATACTTTTGCACAATTTTCGATAAAATATTATTTGCCAGTTTTCCAATATCCTCTTATATAAAATACTAAACAAATGAAAAAAAAATCAATAATATTGTTTATGTCTCATTATTTTAGGGTTTTCGTTTGGTCCTTGGTTTTTGACTTTTTCACTTTTAAAGATTGCTTTGGTTTTTAATTATCTGAGTATTAGATGGTTTTAATGTTAACAAATGTATTTCTGCAGCATGTCCGCGAGGAAAATTTGGTCAGGATTGCTCACTGTCATGTTTGAGGAATTACTACGGAGTGCAGTGCAAACAGATGTGCAGCTGTACAGGTAACACGAAATGTGATCCAATTAATGGCTGTGTCTGTTATGAAGGATATACGGGAAAACACTGCATAGATGGTAGGCAAATGTTTTAAGCTGATGGTTTATATTTGGGAGTCACACTGCCTAAAATAAAAATGTTAAATTCTATCCAACAAATTTAATCATATGATATGTAAGGGACGCGTGTGATAAAGAAGACAAATGAATAAACCATGTAGCCATATTAGCTAGTTGACCCGGCGGCCCTTAGAACATATGTGTTTAATGTTAAAAAACCACAAGGAAAGAATTCCAAAAAGATGTAGAGATTGTTATAAACCTGCACTGCTTGATATCTACGTCATGATTTATTTTCTATGACTTTAAGATTCAAAAGAATGACGTTGTAACGACATAAATGATATCGTTTGATGACATTCCTCGACGTGTCAATAATTTCTTGTTCAACGCAAGATGAATACCTCATACGTAGAACGATAAGTTCAAATACGATGCTTTTGTACGGTTAAGTTGCACTTGATACTTTTGAGAAGCAATGACATAAATCCATGACATGAACGCGCATTGTACAATTCATATAATAGGATTTCATCTTTTATATTTACATTTGTTGGGAAAACTGTATCATTAATAAAGGCTATAGTGGTATACCGCAGTTCGATAGTCATAAATCGATTTAACTGAAACAAATCCGGGTCGCAAACCAAAACCGAGGAAAACACATCAACTATAAAACGAAAACAACGAAACAACATAAACAGTGAACTGCTACAAAAACAAACACAAACATACATAGAAACGGACTATTTGATAACAACTGCCATATTCCTGACTTGGTACAAGACATTTTAAGAAAAAATGGTGGGTTGAACCTGGTTTTATGACTAGCCAAACCTCCCGCTTATATGGCAATGTAAAATATAACGTTACCTTGATTATTTCTTTGTTCTTTTAATTCATTTTCATACCCACTTCTCGTAAATTTTACCTTTGCTGTTTTTGTGCCCTTTAGTGTTGATGGTAAACCTATGAAAATAGCATCAAATATTTCTGGTTTTTGATTTCTTTTGGTACATGTTCTAGTCTTCCTTGAGTGGGTGCTTGTCATTTAATATTGTCTCATTGTCTCACTTACCATATCTTGTAATACACATTTTATGCTGTAGTATAAACTATTTAATAAGAGCTAAAATGTTCTGTTCAGGTTTGTATGTTTCTATTTTATCATTTCATCTACTTTAAATACGATGATTTACATTATCTTATATATATTCCTTAATAATGTTTTCATAATTCATATTTATTAACAGTGTGATTAATTTTATTTGAAGTTTGTCAACCTGGAAGATACGGTGTGAACTGCAATGAGGAATGTTTCTGTGCACAAGACGCTAAGTGTGATCAGGTAACCGGCGTTTGCTTGTGTCCCGCAGGGTGGTTCGGAGTTCACTGTACAAAGGGTAAATACAACATAGGACAAATGTACTTCCTTGTTCCAAAATATTCGTTTAAGAGCTCAATTTCTTGCATTCGGAAAGTAAGTCAAGCAACATAAATCGAAGCCGTATCTTCCAGGTTGAAGTCTTCTAGTATACTGAAATGTAAATTAACGTGTGTTAAAAAGAAACTTTCAACAGAACAGAAAAAAGTCGTAAGTCATACAGACGAAATTCAGAATGTACGAGAACAGTTACTTCATTTACAAAGTGTTTCAACTGAAATGTCTTTATTAAAGTACAAGTGTTATAAGCCGAGCATTATATGTATTTTTAAAATACCTTTACGTCAAAACAAAACTCAACAGTCAATATCATATGACTCCAAAACTTATGAGTTGTATTAACTGAGGTCGATTATAGCTACGTTTAGCGATTTAACTGTAAAATATAACACATGCTTATAAAATGAGATCACGGAAAACATTGCAAATGACTTGTAAACGCTTATGTAAAGTCAGGTCTAAATATAATTATAACTTTTATTTTTATAGAAACAATATTTCTGCTCAAAGAGGAAAAATAAAACAAAATCAGTCTGTATACAAGATAAATATGTGAGGATTTGAAAAACAAAGTACTGTATAACCGTTAAAAAAAATCATTATATGTTATCAGAATATCTTGTAGAATGCCCATTTGGAAAATTTGGAAAGGATTGCAATGGAACTTGTGACTGTTCAGATGGCGTATCATGCGACATCATAACCGGAGAGTGCAGTAAGTGCAAGTCCTATTCTAGTAGAAGACAAGATTATACAACAAGGTTCCAATATATATTCATTATAATAAAATATTTACTGTTTTTGCTATTTCCTCAACTGGAAAGTTTTAAAAGTCGTATAAATATATATGGGGTAAAACATAGAATATAACATTTACGGCAAACATGGAAACAAAGACTGACAACAGGGAAAGAATTTGTAAACCAACTTATTTCCGCGGATATTTTGTTCAGAAGATTTTGAGCTTTTTTTTTATCTTTGTTCGTGTATTCATTCAGAGAAGATCCAAGTTCGACATGGGCGCGACTTTTCATACTAACGTTATTTTTCTAGTCGTAAAACTCACAAAAATAAATCACTCCAGACATATTAAGTTACTTTACAGTATGAGATATGAAAAAGTGTGTTTGTTTTGATTGAAAAATATATTATCTTGTTGTTTTTCACATACCTTTGGTAACTAAATAGTTTGAATGTCTAAAAAAGTAATAAAAATATCACAAAAAGATGTGTGGTGTAGTTTGCAATCAAATCAAAAGATATTTTTTAAACGTTCATCATAGTCAGGATACTCATAACAGAGATCAACAAATGGTATTTTTTTCCAAAACAAGAGAAAAGACAAATCATTAACCAGATTAAACTAAAACTTATGGAATAAAATTTTCTATTCATTTTAAAAGGTTTACGTGTTTACAACTTACATCTAAAATATTTGTTGATTTTGATCTTGTTTACTTTTCAGTCGAGAAAGAAGATCCGAATTCAGATGGAGACATTAATGAATCAAAAGGTACAATTATGATTTACATAATGATGGCCGCTGCTGTTATTGGTTTGGTCTGTGTTGTAACGATGATCTTGAAAGCTAAAGAAGCACTTTGTCGTAATGTACAGAAACCAAAAAAGAATACTACAAAACCAAAGATAAAACGCCGGAAGGCCCAACAAAGATCATCAACCTACAGAGATAACGCTCAGACTGGTTCGTTTATAATAGAAACAGAAGTATCAGTGTTGCAACTTCCATTTGAAGATGAAGACTTATATTGTGAAATAGAAGATATCAATGTTACAGAACCCGGTCGGTATTAATGTCAACAGGATTGTACAAACTTCAGTCGAAATTCATAAAATATCGATGACAACAGATCAAGGTACGCCTTATAGTTATATCCTGTTCCGGGTGTTCTTATTTAAACTTCATGAAATTGAAATCTTCAAATCTAAAAAGCTCGTCTTTCATTATGGCTTATGTGCTTTATCTATATGCCATTTTGTTTTTCTTGGCTGACATATTTCTTTGTTTTTATAGTGATTAAGATTATAACACAATGTTGACTGCTGTTCCCCTGTTTTTGACATTTTTACCTATTATATATGTTTGTTTTGTACACACATTGTTTTCAATATTATGGAATTTTATGCGACTGTCATACAAGTGAGAGGATTAGCAAGATATAAAACCAGGTTTAATCCACCATTTTTTACAGAAGGAAATGCCTGTACCAAGTTAGGAATATGACAGCTGTTTTTCCATTCGTTTGATGTGTTTGTGCTTTTGATTTTGCCATTTGATAAGGGACTTTCCTAAGTGAATTTTCGATGGAGTTCGGTAGTTTTGTTATTTTACTTTTTGCATCACAGTAGGAATTATTGACGATAGCAAATACTTGTTTCACTGATTCCGTTCATGTTGCCAATGTTAAAACTCATAAATCCATAGTGTGTAAGAGTCTTATAATAAGTAGATTGGTATGTTTCAAAATGCGGCAGGATTCTACCGTGGATCACTGGACATGAATGTAACAAATATAGGTCGACGATCAGCCTACAATAAAAAGCATACCCAAAACTGTTTAGGAGATAATAAAAGAAACAAAAGTACCTACAAGATGGAACATTTCCTTTGTATTTAAAGTGATATAGATTTTTGAACGCTCTGGACTATCAACTATTATATTTGTTTCTGTCATTGTACCTCTCGGGTTATGAACTGACATTCAATTCTAATAACTGTTCCGTGCATATTCAGTAAATTTTGTGTCATAATATAACTCCAACAGGGAATTCATTAATCTCAAGTACTTTGAATAAATAGCATAAATCCATTAATCTTCTTATTTTAGAGTAGCTAAATTGTTTATCTGAGCTGCAATTTAAAACTAGAAATTCTTCAAATCCTATTATGTAATTATTGTACTTTTTTATCCATCATACACCATCTTCGATATACCGATTTATGTTTTCCGAGAAATATTTCTACTTTTCGTGAATGCACAAGATTGTTTAAATATTATACTCAACTTAATAAGAACTATTGTATATAACACTGATTAATTGATTTGATAAAATGTTACTGAGAAAGTCCTAATAAAACTAATAAACTTTTATTTATCATAAGTTATGTAGTTGCTTTTTTTTTGTTTATCGTTTCTACATTATTTTTTTGGAGAAAGGCAAATAACTTAGATAGAAATTGATGTAAATAAACTCATCATAGATATCAGAATTGAAATTTTGTATTTGCGCCAGACGGGCGTTTCGTCTATAAAAGTCTCATTAGTGACGCTCGAATCAAAATATGATGATATTTACGTAATTAATCATTTGAGAATATGAGAAGACGACAAAGAGAAAATTGACTAATGAAACAAATAAAATTACATCTAGACAGGCCCTTTCCACAAGGAAGACAAAATACTAAAACTTGAACCGGTAAACGTCTGGAAAATCTCACAATCAAAATACAATCAGATCAACTCATCATCAGAAAATAAGAACTAAACTTTCATCATTTACGTTTAACACACTACTACTCTGCAACTTAAGTTAAAATACAATGATGTTCAAATTTCATGCTTATTTTGCGCTAGAAATATAACATTTCTTTCCAAGCAGTTAATAATCATGGGGTTCACATTGGCCTATGTTAAGAGTACGTACGTTGTTTTATATTTTTTATCTGATTGTTTGTATTCAGTGCCTTTTAATGGAATGGACTTAATTGGTTGTTTGTCAATGCGTCAAATGATGTCAAATAGACTTTATACAGTCATCTTTGTACAATATTATTATATAGGAAGGACACAATGTACCAAAACAAATTTCGAAACTCAACATTTATATTTTGTAGCTTAAAGACCTTATAAAGCGACAGAAAAAATGTAAAATAAAACATGTGCTGTTTATTTCAAACCTTCCGGAATACAGCGGATTTTGGCATACAATTGTTTAGTAGATAAAAGGAAATACGTTCCACTTTTTTTGTTGAAAATCATTTTCTGTAAATTGAAATTAAAATTCATGTAATATATGGGGCCCCTCATTATGACCACAACATATCCTGTTTTAGTGTACTCGTTTTGTTTACTTCAGTCTTTTTATGTAAATTAACTGTGTTTCTTTCTTTTCTTTTTTCTTTTCTGTAATTATTTTCCGTCTGTTTTGATTCTTTTTGTGTGTTTTTTTCTTTCCCAAGGGATTTGGAGGTGGGTGGGTTAGGGGGGAGGGGAGGTCGGTTTGTGTTTGCCGCAACGTATTTTTTATGCGATTTTTATTATTCTTTATCTCATTAAACTCATGATTGTGCACTAAAGAACATCAAGACATTTATTTGAAGGCCAAAAGTTTGTCTTCATAACTTCAACAATAAGCCTATAAACAATCAATCAAATTCCCTTACACTTGACCGATGTTCAAATCCCTTTACTCGATTTAAAAGAGACATATCAAGGCAACACACAAATACTCGAAAGGAACATAAACTCAATGGGGCGAGACCGGGGGCATCGCCAGGGTAATCGTCTCCTGCTATGCATGCATCAATCACCATGAGAATTCACACTCAGTCAAAATGTCACAGTTGGAAAAAGATAACAATCGGTTATATTCAGATCAGACGACTATATTGGTATCTAAATATCTAAGACTGCGAAAACATGTTACGCCGTATCGGTGAATTAATTCGTCAAATTGACTGTAAAACCTATGTGGTATTGATTTCAGTCGTACTTCCTCGTAAGTCTTTTGGTGCAGTTTTGTGTTTTGGGCACGCACCTGTTAAATAAGTCCGTATATTTCAAACATGCACGAAAAAAACATACACGTATAAACTGAGATATTCAAACATAACACGATGGAACATAGGGTATGTTACTGCTGAGAAATGGGAAAGAGAGGCGAAAGATACCAAGGGGACATTCAAACTCATAAGTCGAAAATAAACTGACAAGTTGACATTTAGAAAGCTAAAATCATCCTGTTTGTCATAGATTAATGTTCAAGTTGTTCATCTGTATCAATATCTAGGTAGAGATAAAGATTTGATGCAGACCTTCTACTTGCAGTAGTAAACGTAATATGTTTCCCTGGTTATATGAGGTGTTATCAATTATTGAAATGTAGGTTATTGAGTAAAAGCTATTTGTTTAAACTTTGAGGCTATTCTAATACATGTAAAAAATTGTATTTTAACAGCAAGAAAACGATATATACGACATTCATGACTACTGCAATAACATATGATTGTTTACTTGAATTATCAAACAAAGAATAAAAAGCATACACAGAAAAAAATAGTACCCTGCAAAACTCTACTATGAATGAACTGGTAGACATCATTTGGACTCTGACTGCAGTAAGAGAAACCTATTAGGGAATCAAAATATTTCTTCAGACAAAGTCTACAATCTTTGTTTCTTAGTTAACAAGCATTCTTAATCATATAAAATGTCTATCATTTGCGCACAGGATGTGAAAAACTGATATTTTTCATTGTACGTTTGCCGGTTTTCTGTGATCTGTGTACCAATTAACCCGATTTGTTTTAAAGAATATGTTCGTATCTAAATTATAGGCAACATTAGTTTGCCAAAGTTCAAATCTGTTAAATCAATGCAGAACATGCAAATCTAAATAAAAGTAAAATCTTAAGCAACTGCATGAACTAGAAGGAAGCGAAACCGGGTTATTTTATATTTTACTTAAAATATATTCTAGATTCGAACGGACTAATTATATATACATAATTAGACATGAGAATAATAATAGGAGGAAGATGTTTTTAGGACTTTAATATTGTTATAGGGGAAACATAAAATATGGAAATACCAATTTAGATCAAATTTCCTGTTATGTATTAAAAACAATTCAAAAGATCAATATTTTACTTATCGATATATAAAGTTGATATTGCTTAATCTTACCATGAAAAAACATTTCTACCTATTTTGTGTGTATCTTGGAATTGGATCATGTTATTCTTTAAAAGTAAATGATTTAAACGCATGTGTCAGGACAGTTGAAATAAGGTAAGTTAGATATGCTGTTTGTCATTAATATTGTTATTCGATGGAGTAACACTGATGTACGACATACACATTCAGATATGATATCCTTTATAACAATTTATATGGTTAACTGTCCAATTCCTTTTTTCAATTTAGACCGTAATGTATAAATGAATTTTTAATCACTTTGCCTCCTGTCTGGAAAGGCACAGTGTTTCTGTAACCGTTCATACGCCATTGGTATAAAGCATTCAATTGAAGAGTTATCTATTGAATCGTTCATATCTTGGGCCAACTTCGTTTGTCAATTCCATATTTTTATCAGAATATTTCCGGTTTTTTTTTTCTATTTGCAAATCTACACCAGGAGGCAGGCATTGTGCATGGCAAGGATCAAACTGTCTTGCTCTCTTCTTCGGGCTGTTTATACTATACAGTTAAAGCATTTGCCTTAGCGAAATGTGAAGATTTGTTCATTACAGAAAAGTCCAGGGCAAAATCTTATCGACCGTGATAAAATCTTTATATTTCATAAGTCAAGGAAATGAATGTTTATTTCTACTACCTATATTTTCGTTGACCTCCAGATTTTTTTAGTTTTAAACATGTAATTCCACATATTCCCGTAATCGTATGCTACTTACAAGGCATATGAAAAGTATCTAGCATGACGATAAATGTTCACTTCTGTACTCGTACTATGAACAACAAATTTATTTATTTTGTAAACAATATTTCAGTAGTTCTAACAACAAACTTACTATATTTAAATTTACCTGTGTACATTATTTTATTTAACGCCAT